TTTCGTCAGGATTCTTCAAGTTCGTCAGTTCAGCGGTATGGCAAGCTGCGAGGAACATGAACTCCGCGATAGGGTGTTCGAGTCGAGAGCGAATGATGTCGAGCAGAGTGAGCTGATCGCTGTGGAGTTTTAAATGATGTATCGAACGGATTATTCGCTTCCAACTGGCTGTGGCACGCGAAATGAACCAAGTTGTGTTCTCGAAGTCCTTGCATCACAGTGGCTCGTGTCGCCTTCCCTGAAACGAGATCAGTTATCTGAACCTCGAGGCCACCTTACTCTCCTCCACCGCTGACATCCCTTAAGTGGTAATATTGTTGCACAACATCCTTAAAGTGGTAATCTTGTCACACGACTGTGATTTGTCATAATATTTATTTTAAAAAGGGAGTTATTGTTGAATATTTATATTAAAAAGGAAAGTTAACAAAATAAATATCATTACAAATCAGTTGGAATAAGTTCAGATAAGGATTAGATAAGAACTTTGGTGTTCTCGCGCGTTCTCACTACTCTATGTCTAGTTATTGACTTTCATTGTGTATCATGTGTTCTCATCAGAATGTGTGAGGTCTGGAATGTTATTGCCCATTGCATGGACAGGAGGAGGGAAAATGTTAAGCATTTTCACTATTAGGTTTTTTTATTTTTGAAATCAATTTTATTTACACTTCAGGACCTTGCCCAAATCACACAGCTACTACCAGTACATAGTAACTACTGTTGTGAACATGAGAGAAGGGTGGAAACCACCATGTGCAAAACCTCTTGGTAGACGGAAACAAGAGAGATGGTGTGTAATAGAGCAGTGGAGAGGGGAAGAGAGCCTGTGTGTTGGAGAAGAAAGGTGAACTTACCCATACTACCCAATGTCACCAACTCAGACTTAATCCAGATCGCTAGGTCATCTCACCAAAGGAGGCCTTGTGAAAGCCCGCGTGTCCTGGATGAAGGTGAGGGGGTGAGGTCGTCGCATGAGCAGAGCCGGTCTCTCACTATTGGGTTGAAAACGTTGCCTACATGTCACATGACTTTGATTTGTAATGATGTTTTGTTGATCAACAATGGCTTTCCTTTTTAAATTAATATTTAACGATAACTTCCCTTTTAAAATAAATATTATTACAAATCACAGTCGTGTGGCAATATTACCACTTTAGGGATGTCAGCGGTGGGGGAGAAGTGGGTCACTCAGTACATACGTCATTAGACTTTTCTCTTCTCTTATCTCTTACTTATTTAAACCGTAGCACTCGAGTCCTTGTCCTACAGTTTCGAGCTCTTGTGCATACAAGATCTTAGGTACTCAGTAATCGTATCTACGCTTTAACATCTAAACACCTGAACTCCATCGATAAACTCGACAATTGATTTATAACGTAACAGGTACGTTACGTTACGATAAGTGGTTGTGCGATTACTTCTTGATTATTTTCCTTTCTCCCCTTTCTCTCTTGTTCGCGCCCTTTCTACACCGTTCCATTTTCTTCACTCGTCATCGCAAAGGCAGCGTCCTCAACGCTTTACCCGTTTTCCTCTATCGTTCCTCGTATGACATCGCTATTCATGAACAGTATAAGTACAGTAGAGACCCAGCTCTAAGAGACCTCAGTTTTGAGCTCTCTGTATTTACAGGCTTACCTGACTCACGAACTCAGGTCCTTTTCTTGCTTTTGCTTTGCGTGCCTAAGCGTTGTCTCACCCTTGAAACTGTCGAACAATCTTTGACCTCGAACCTCACGCAGAACGGTCAGCCACCATAGATACAAGAGCTCAAGACTGGATGGAGTCTTCGAGCTAAGTTCCTACAGTATTTATACAGTCCAGAAAGAACAATACCAATCGAACAAGAACATGATAGAATGATAGAGAAAGCAAAAGAGGCGTTGAGGACGCTGCCTTGTTGTGAGTGAGAGTGGAAGAAAAAAGGAATTTATCGTACAGTTAACAGTTAACATTTACTAAGCATTCGTGCAGCCACGCAGGGGGCGACAAAGCCGAGGCAAATCACGACCCTTGCTATTTCTTAAAACATTACCTGTTCGTTCGATCTCGTATAAAGAGGTTGGCAAAAATCCATGTAAAGATCAATGGATAGAAAATGATTTCGCGAATCCGTTATCTCTTTTTTTAAAGTCGATTTAATGTCAAACTGTTTTACCTTCAATTATCCACGCGTTGATTGTTGTTCACACATCGGTCAAGCTTGACCGCCGGCTCATGTGAAAACTCGGAAACGATTGGGGGAGAACATGATGATCTTATCTTCCTTTTCCTAATCATTAATAGGATAAGGGTGTGGAGTGTGGAACTGACTCGTTCGCGTGGGAGAAACGAATATCATCAAAGAAGCCAGAGAACAGAGAACAGCAAAGACAACCCGGCACGACTCGCGGCCTTTTTGGTTGCATTAAATTAAAACCACATATACATAGCAGTCGTGGATACAAAATTACAACATTCGCTTAGGTCTTCAATAAGAAATACATATCCTTCGGATTGATTAGAGGCGGAACAAGCGTGAATTCAACTTGCGTCGCGCTGATGGGGGTGCTGATACCGGTGTTGGTGCTGGTGGATTTTTAATGACGACCGACTTCCCAATCCTAGTCGGCACAGTGACTAGGACGGGTGCGGCCGTGTCCGTGCTGGTACTACTATCACTCCCAGTGGCAGTAGCGATCGTTTGCGTGTCGAACTGAGAAGAGGAGAATGAGATTCGTGGCGAGGCGCCTGCGGAAAGTGACTTTTTTATCGCCTCGTGGAAATTATTGTTGGCTATGCAAATGTTGCAAGTCACGAACGTTAAGTATGTGTCATCTGGACAGAGGCACGCTCGGACTTCACTGACCGACGGCTAGGGACGCTTCCCAGAGCATGATCCCACCAAATGATGACCAAGTTTTCTGTGCCTGCCTTCCGTAATTGGCCAAAGTGGCAGCATCCACGTATCCCGTCCCTGCCGCGTCCTTGCTTGCAGGTGCGCCAATATAGACCTTGATATTTTGTTGGCAGACATGGTCTTCGCCCAATGGTCCCTGCCTCGCGCTAAGCACAATGCACGCGGTACGTAAGCATCAGCCGCTCCACTTACCATGTGGCGAAGTTGTATTCCTGGGAAAAAAAAAATATCATGAGTCACGTGTATAAAAAATGAAGAAGTTCTCCCAAAAGCCTACCTTTGGCTGGTCAAGACCGCAAAAGTTATTATCTGCAGCAGACGACCAGTCAGTAAACGGAGGACCAAGGGAAGTAAAAAAAAAAAAGGGAGCGGCAGCGTACAGAATTGGACGTAAACGGCGTCGAATGGCGCGGCATTAAGCGCCGCGCCAATATTCGCATCCGGGAATGGACACTGAGGCGCAGCGGTGACATAGAATCGTTTACTGAAACCTTTAGCGTGCGCGCGGATCTGGTTGACGAACGCGGCATAGCCACTAGGCGCTCCTTGCTCAATATCCAAATCGACACTGAACACGATGCCAATCGTTTGACAAAAATTATGAGACGGAGCAACGGGAACCGCACGCACCCGTCGAGCACAGCATCTCCGAAAGGTCGTGGAGCACCAGAGCCACCCAAAAAGGAATTCCATATCTTATCCGCAAATGCTTGGGCCTGCGAGTCTGAAGAGAAGCCAGGCCTTGAGTCTGCGCCGCCGAGACTCAGGGTAACAATCTTCCCGTTCTTCTGACATGCCTTGATCTGCGGGGCCATGAAAGAGCAGTCTGCGAGATTGGTCCCACTGAAGACCGGACCGCCCGATGAGCTGCAGGTCTTTGGGCTTTGTGAGCATAGCCAGTGTAATAATTGTGAGAAAGGTTCATACGTTAGCCAGATTGATCTCAGGTTCGCCGCCCGCACCACGGAAGACGTCTAGGAATGCGATAATGATGTTGTCTATGGTGTCGTCTTGACAGTAAGCGGAGATATCCTTCTGTTTTCCTGAACCATCCTGTCCCCAATAACTTGTTTGTCATCAGAGTTAGTCAGTGGTTTGCCAGAAAGAGCGATGCCAACATACACAGCAAGCTATATTGAGAATAAGTGGGCACACTCAAAAAAAAAGAAAACGAGGGTGAAGCAACTCACGTTGTCGCTTCTCGTGATATCATATACAGCCGTAACATTTTGGATCATAAGAAAGACAGATACAACAAGAGCCAGAAAGCGCGAAACATAAATGCCTGCGTGCGCCATGCTTCACTCAGAACTTTGATAGAATGATGGGGATGTTTGCCAGGGAACGAAGGGAGGAATCGTCGAAGGAAACGCCGCCCATAATTCCCGCTCTTATAAGTGTAGTGCATGCTATCAGCTTTGGGAACTACCTCAGGTGATCTGTTCTCGCCAGAGGAGAACCCCGTTCCAAATGACATTGTTCGAGCCCGGCATGGAAAAACAAAATGATAGAATGTGCGAACTGTGCATGGCCTGGCGTCAAGGGAAAAAGGTATTCCACGATGCGCTGGCATAGTTCATGCGCTGTCGCCTTACGGCTGGAGGGAGAGCATGGGATAGAAGCTCACGTGTGTATGGACGGCGAGTTAGAAGTGGTGCATCATCTAGCTTTCAAAGTCCGGCATGCCCGATAGCTAAACAGCCGGATTCTCACGATGTCGCCATATGGACCTGTCCGGGGGGTGTGAGCCTAATTGCATGGTGAGAGGTGGTCGAATTGTAGTGCCTTTGTCCAGTCAAAAAAGCTCGATTGGCAATGTGCATATTACGGGCGCTGGATTGCCGTAGATCGAAACCGTGGTGGCCGCGCCTGTGGTGCATTGTTTCGTGCAATTTAATATTTAATAAGTATAGTGGTGTGTCAGCCAACCCATCGTGAAGCCGAAGAGAAACAGGGAAAAGGCCATATGGAACTTCATAAACATGGAGATTGTGAGAGAACGAGCAGACGCAACCCTCGCAAGTGCGTGCCTTTTGGGCGCCTTGTGGGTGGTGTTTGGTTTGGACAGACGTCACGTGGATTAATTATTTAAGGAGGAGGTTCAGTGGTCTAATGGTTATGATTTCTGTCTCACACGCTTACAGCTCACAGAAGGTTCCCGGTTCGATCCCGGGCTGAACCACTTTTTATTTTATATTTATTTTTATATTTTTACACCACTTCTACTTCTCTACTTCTACTTCCACTACACCGTTACATACCACGCCTCTCTCAGAACCGCCCGTTTTAATTCAAAATGTCTTCAAGTCAGGCAGTCACTCACACCCATACTTCATGAAACTGGGGCATCGGTACCGGGCTCAGTAGACTGCATGCAGACTACATACCTGCATAGGATGAAAGTGGGCAGGTAACTAAACAAATGGACCCAATCGTGCGATGACGGGTTACCTGAAGTCATGTATCCCTTCCATCCACGAATAACCTATTGCATTCGACAATCACTTCAGGGCATGCTGACCTTAGCCCAAGCCCTGCTATATTACAACACGACGTTCTCGCCCGTCAAATCGGCCAATTCCAGAACCCCAAAATAATGAGCTATAGTAGTGCGGCTCTCTTTCTAAAGCTTTTTTCATATGAGGAAGGGGAAAGAGGGGGAATGCAAATCTATCATTCATGCCTCGTGCCCCTCGCGTCTTCTTGGGGCTCCGTTTCTCAGACAAAAGACAAAAGGCAGATGGCAGGTAGGCAGCCTGCCTTTCACGCTTTCCTCGGCACGTCAATTACCAGAAGTCCATCCTCGCCAAAACGCGCTCGCACGGTTCTCAGATCGACGCCTGACGGGGGGAAGGCAACGTTCCACTCATAATGACCTGCAATCATCCATCGAAAGCGACCGGACCCGTCCGGACATGTTTCAGCATGTAATGTTATTGAAGGGCCATCGACTTGCCGCCGCAAAGCCAAAAAAAATAAAGGGAGGGGGAAAGAAAAAAGCAAACAAAAAAAAACAAAACTCACAGTCATGCTCCAGATGCCAAGCATCTGCAACTACCGCGAGCCGACCTCCGCGTCTTGCAGAGACGGTAATCATTTCGGGGGCTAGAGGTGTGCCTCCCGGGCGCGGCAATACGATCGACAACACATAGGACGTGGGAGATGTCTCTATGCGAGCAGGGGGAACGTTAGGACCCGCTCCGCGACGGGCATGCGCGAGAGGCGATTCCGGGCGGCACGCGGGGAAATCCCGCAATGTCCCCCTTGATACCGATGTGGCGTCGTCCACGCTTTTCGATGGTGACGATGATATCGCGTGCTGCTGCTTCTGCTGCTGCTGCTGCTGCTGACTGGAACGTGTTGGCGGCCACCTTATTGTTTCCGTCGCTGTTTCCGTGGAGACGACTGCGGCGACAGGTGGTGGTGGTGGTGGTGGTGGTGTTGGTGCGCTGTGGATGATCGTATGGGTGACACACCGTCTCTCTCGATCGCGCGTTCTCTCTCCTCCTGGTGTTGTGAACGTTGATGACAGCGCTCGTGGACGGACACCCACACCTACATTCATGCGGGTTTCTATTTCAAAAAACTTAGAAATTTTTTTAAAATAAACACGCTGCTGCAACCCGCAGCAAAAGGTAAGGCTCGAGGGGGTAGTTCTTAATTGTGGTGATGGCAACGTGCATCGAATGCCATGCCACTTCACACACACACACGCATGCACTCGGGAGGAACTCACCAAGTCTAGGAACGTTCAACATCATCGTTGGGGATAAGCCATCGACCTTCCCGGCTATCATCCCGTAAACATGAACCTTCTTCCGGGCCGACGCTGGGGTCAGAGTCGCATAGTGATTTTGTCCATGTCCACGTCCACGTCCATGGCGATCTTTATCTTCATCATCCCAAGTCCCGCTCGGGCCACCGTAGAGTCTCACCGGTGTTGTTACCGCGCGTGAGCGCACGCGCGGCGCGATGTTAAGTTGCTGAGGTTTAGAAGGTGTGAGGAGCATTTCGAAAAAAAAAAAAGAAATAAGTGCAGAAAAGTCGCCGGTTCGAATGTCCGCCTATAAAGCCCAACAGTTCCAGATCAAACCACTGACTGTCCGTCCCATCTGTGGGTTGGTCCCAGTCCTAGCCTGATTGTGTTGGTCGACAAATGGGTAACCGGGCAAGGCACTTTACTCACCACTCAAGTCTTTCCAAAAACAACACTTCCGATAAGAGATGCATAATTTCTGGAGCGATACGCGACCAGGAATAACAACAAAAAGTAGTAGTATCATTAGAGAGCTTACGCGCTCGAGGGAAAGGGAAAGGGGGGAACACCGAAAAAAAATAGTTCATATAGCATTGGTTGTAGCTGGTTGTACACGAGAGTTTTTTTTTCTTTTTACCAACCTGGTAGTCACTTGACATAACCCAATCTTCTAGATATCACAAGTGATAACGCGCGTGTGCGCACAATCAGAGAGGAAGGTGGTAGGTAGAGGAAGGGATTATATAGCGTTGTTTGTTTGACACTGACACCAATGATTCACCGCTTCTCACGGACAAAGACGTGGAGCACGACGAAACTCGAGGCAGTGAAAGTGACAAAGAAAATACCGAGTAACGAGATGTTCGGCCACCAGAACGACTGCGCACGCAGACCGAACGTGGAGAGGATCGTGGCTGCGGGGACGTCGAGCTCAACTCCGTACTTGTCCCATGCAGGTTAGAGAGCTAATTTAGCGTTGAAGGAAGAGAAAGAGTGCACACCTTATCTTCCTTGAGTTGCAGGAAGCGAAGCTCATTGACAGCGAGAGCCTCGAACGCGGCATGGAAGAAGGAAACCGTATGCAGCCATTGTAACCAAGGCTTGACTTTGGAACGGTTAATCAAGAGACCGGTGAACAACAAGCTTGTAATGGCACGGATTCAGTACGTCATGCACCACAGATGCGAGAATCGAGAATGAGTGTCGAGCGCTCACTTGAACAGCATGACCATCGTGCCAATCAGACTCGCGACGCTCGTGTTTGCGCATGCGATAGAGATGAGCAAGATGACGCTCGCCGTGGTCAGGTTGAAGAGTACGAGTGTGAGAATAAACTTCCAGAAAGCTGCCACTGTAGGCACGAAGCCGACGAGCCCATACACGATGCCTCCGAAGAGCAACGGCGGGACGACGCGCAGTGGAAAAATGTCAAATAGAACCTGTAATAGTGTCACATTTCTGTCTCCAAAAAAAAAAAAAAAGGGGTTATCCATACCTTGGATGTGAAGTATGTGAACGAGGAATAATATCCGTTTGATCTTAAGGCACTATGCGTGAGTGGCCCGTAATGACTGTCAGGAACATTAAAGTCAGACCTTTCCCGCATGAAAAGGATCCGTTCGTTGGCAAATAAACCAAGACTTGACAAGCACGAGAAGCCAAATAGTGCCAAGGTGAAAAAGAAAACGCCTACAGATCCGCCATCAGATGTCTGAGACGCTTACACCAGCATAAGGACCGAGATACGCACCTAATCTATTTTGGAATCCACCGATATCATCGGATACATTATGATAGAACAGACCACAGAGCACTGCAGTGTCGTTGAGTCCCAGCAGAGGTGGGCCGACCAACAGGATATTAAAAGGTACTCACGTGCTGCCCCAATGGCTGCCGAATACTGAAACGTCAAAAGTGCGGGGTCGCGGTACATATTCTTGAAAGCCCGTCCACTTAAGATCCTGAATTGCGTTGCCCACGTCGCGCGCTTGCGCCCGCGGAGCAGCAAGCTCTCGGCCGCTACGTCCGGTAACTCGTCGCTTCCCTCCGGTCCTTGTGCGGGCTGCGCAACTGCGTCGATGTCAGTATGAATCGCAGCCGCGATGTCGCTTGCGGCATAGGCATCAACGAGCGCGGAAACATGGGGCGTGAGTGGTAGCCCCGAGTCGCTGCCATGTGCGGTGCTGAGTGAGACTACCTCGAGAAGCTGCGAGGTCTTTCTCTGAAGGAAGCCTTCACCCTTTCCGTTTCCAAGGCGCCGTACTTGCAGTTCTGTTTCATCATCAGCGGAGCTGGAAGACTGGCCACCGCTTGAGACATGAGACTCGCGGCGTGGAGGAGGAAGGGCTCGTTCCTCGTCACGTAGGGAGGCAGATGCTGTTGCTCCGCCAGCCGGGGAAATCACACCTGTGGAGGAAGTCCCAGAGCCTTTGGATTCCTTCTCGGCCGAAGCAGTTAGGTCAACTGTATAAACTCATCACTAGATAGCACCAGTAAACATAAGGATGAAGGCGCACTGAGGTAATCTGCAATGTTGAATCCTGGGGGGCAATGCTGTCCAATAGAATCGAAATACGGTTGACATTTGGCAAATTCCCCAGCATATACGAGACGGCCCTGAGCGAGCAGTAGAAGCTGGTCAAAGAGAGCAACTATATTACTGCGTGGCTGGTGGATCGTAAAGATGACGGTGCGGTTGTAGTTGCGCGCGAGTGAGACTAGACTTTCTATGACATTATATGCGTTGTACGCGTCCAAGCCTGAGAAATGTGTCATGACAAGGGCACGGCGTTATAATCTACGAGACGTACCACTTGTCGGCTCGTCAAGGAACAGGATAGATGGGCTAGTTACCAGTTCGCACGCAATTGAGACGCGGCGCTTCTCTCCTCCAGAAATGGAACGATGACCTGCGGGAAGCTCAATCAACGCGCAGCAAAAGATGGTACAGCCACTCACCAGAGTCTCCAATCCTTGAATCCTTGATCCCGAGGATACCCAACTCGTTCATCGTCTCTAACGTCCTAAACTGCTTCGCTTCGATACTCATGTCCCTCGGCAACCTCAACAAAGCGGAATACAGGATAGTCTCATAAACGGTGAGTGTGCTCATGAGCGTATCTTCCTGGTCCACAAACCCGATGACTTTCCTGAAGTCTGCATCTGAGACCTCTCGGCCATTAACAAGTGTCGTTCCCCCAACCAGGCCTCGCTTGCGTTTGCGCGCGAGGATGTCGAGGAAAGTCGACTTGCCAGCACCCGAGGCACCCATAATTGCGAGCACTTGACCTGGACGCACAGAGCCGGTGATGCCTTCAAGGATTGACCGACCATTAAGGGTATAGGAGATATTGGAGAAATGGAGCGTTGCAGGGACATGATCCGTCATAAGCTGCGAGACCTCCGCGTCTGGTAAACGGATCGCT